ATTTGAGTAAGATATCCGTGCATTAGGACATACAAGGCATGGGGATTCAATTTTTAAAGTTGAACGAGAAAATCGAGAAGATAAAAAAACTTTCGATTTCTGATGAACTTATGCACCTTATAGTTTTGTATACATTATAGTTTCACGGGTTGTAGTTATATATAGGACCATAGGTAGACATGGCCAATGGTCACCCGACCCGGAACCGGCACGAACCCAGCTCGGTCCAACCCGTTGATCACGGGTCGACGCCATCCTGATTTTACACCAGGTCGGTTCAGGATCATATATATGTAACATATGACCCGACAGACTGGGCAGGGTCGGGCTGTAAAATCAACGATCAGATTTTTTAATAAAAAAATATATATTGACTTTCATATATATATATTTATATTGACATTCCCAAATTTCGTTTTTATTTATATTGACTTCCATATATTTATATTAACTTATATTGTATTTAGTATAAAGGCAAATATTATATTTCTCATGCATGTTTTCACCGTCCGCTTTCCTTAGTCTTCTACACGTTTATCTGTGGTCATTAGTATAAAAAATTGAATTTGGCAACATAATAATAGATAATAGACATAAAAAAAAAATGGAAGTTACAAAAGGAGCTTAATACAATAGTCACCAAAAGAATATTATACATAACATATAAGTATTTATATGATAATGATCCGGTATATAGTGGTCGTGAGATAATTTATCTAGTGCAATAATATATCGGCACAACAGAATGATCGCGATTACATTATCCCTCTCATTATTATTTGTGTGTATTTTGCATTATGTAAAAAAAAATTATATAAAACAATTACAGGAGGTTTTCTTTGTCTCAAATGCATGATATAATAATAAAATTTGACAAAATTACCTCAAAACTTTGAATGGCATTTCCAAAACACTTTAAATATATTAATCAAAAAAGAAAAAACACTTTAAATATATCATTCAACATAAACTCAAACTCTTGTTTTAAAAAACATCTAGCCAAACAAAGAATACAAAAAAGTTAAAAAGTCATCTAATAATATAGATTACTTTTCCATGCTTATCAAATAGTCATAGTACTAATCATAAGGCCCTCTTTTAATTAACATTTATGACATTTTATAACAATATTTATGATATTCCTTTTTTAAATCTAATGAAATGTGATAATGTTAATCACACTGATTTTGACACTAGCTAGGGATTATCAGTCTCTTAGGCCTGGGACCGATCCGGTTCTTAATGTATTTTTTCAGGAATCGAAATCGGAACCGAACTGAAATAACCGGTTCGGTTATTACACATATATTCATAGGAACCGAAAAAGGACCAAACCGTGTTATAACGGTTCGGTTTTTCCGGTTCTTTTGGTAACCGGCAAAAAAAATCGACAATGACCAGTTTTCAATTAAGAACCGACAAACAATATTACAACCATGTGCTAAATGTATAATGAAAAACTGAGAACCGAACATTATATACCAAGAACCGTAACCAATTTACATATATAAACACATAAAACATGTATATTTCATATATATAATCGGTTTATCGGTTAATACACAAATATTTGGAAAGAACCGAGAACCGGAACCGGTTTGTGAAAAAAATAACCGAAACCGAAGAAAATGTTTTTTTTTTTTAAATATCCGAACCGAACCGATTATTTTTGGTTTGATCCGATCTAGTTCTCCGGTTCTCCGATATAAAATCTCACCCCTATAATCTCCTACAGTTTCACCAGGAGTGTTATTAAATAGTGTTCAGGGGGGTAATGCGACAAAATAATAGGTTTATAGCTGCCAAATTAAAGCTAAAAGTAAATTAACACGAATCAAACAATATTTTTCCAACCTCATAATTTCAATTGTGAGCACTTTTCCGAATTTCATCAAATTCTTAACTTCATAATTTCAAGTGTGAAATCTTAAAGATTTATTATTTCGAGGTCTTCATTCAAGGCCAAGACTTTTTTTTTTTAAATGTATTATTCTAATGTCTCATTATATATTCTTTGAAATTACAAATATGATATTATGCTAACATATAAAATCTTTGTACTATTGTGTAATTTATATAATTTTTGTCGGTTAGTGCATGGCAAACACCAAACCCATCTACATTAATTGAACCATATACCTTATTCAAGCTAACTTATATCGTGAATTCATGATTTAAATCAATTAATAAAACAAGAAAATATTTACTAAATGATAATTATAATAATAAAATCAAATATTATTTCACTTATAACAAAAGTATTTTCCATTTGTACAAATAAAAGTATTTTCCATTTGTCTAATAATTAGGCTATTTTATACCAAAAAAATAATATTATTTTAGTACCCTAACAATAGAAAGGAATATTGTGAAAGCTCCATTGATGTATATAATTCAATACATACATACGGATAATAGTGAACTTTATGTAAGAAAAACTATTTCAGATGATGAATATAGTGTCATAATAACACATTAAATTTTTTATTTTTATTATTTTCTTGTACATTTTGACACGTGTGATATTTGCTAACTCAATCACAATTCAAATTCAATGATAAGGAGAAACAAGTTTATTTTTTTAAAAAAATTTATCAATTAAATAAATTTAGCTACAAAGTAGTTAGACTGTTAGATGATATAATCAATAAGTCGTATATGTGAAATATGTCATTTTAAATAGAAATAATCATATATTTTTGAAAAAACGTAATTAAAATTTAAAACATTCTTTTAGCATTATTTGAATTTAAGTATAATTTTTATTTATCCGTGTAATATACAGGTATTTTACTAGTTAAATGATAAAAGAGAAACAAGTTTATGTCAAATTGACAACCAAAATGCATATATCCAATTACAAATGCTCAGCTCTTTGCACATCATTAACACATGAATCGATTTAAAGCTAGCTCATAGCCAAGATCATGAATATTATTAAAGCATGAGGCCATGGACAAATGAGGCCTTCACCCAAACTCGTGAACTCCATAAATACCAGTTCCAAATCCCCCACACAACACTAACACAACACGACGCAGAACAAAATCAAGAACTACAAGAAAATGAGATCATCAGCTAGTACTATAACATTTTCCCCTTTGACCCAAAGGGGAAAATGAGATCATCAGCTAGTCCTCGGACCCAACCTTCCAAAGGCAGTCGCCAGTCGACTTCTACACCCCCACCGACCCAACCTTCCTCACAATCCTCAACTCGACTGCCAGAAATCTCAAGTGCCTATCCCCTGGCATCCCCCAACCCGTCCTCATCGTAACCCCCTACACAGAGGAAGCGGTTCAGGCTTCCGTGAGTTGCGTCGGGAGGTTCAACATCAGTCTGCGGTAGACATGGCCATGGGTCACCCGACTCGGACCCGACACGGACCCGACCCGGTCAAACCCGTTGACCACGGGTCCGGGCCCGACACGGATTTCAAACGGGCCGGTCAAGGGTCATGTTTTTTTTTACCTTGACCCGGCGGGCCAGGCCGGGTTCGGGCCGGGTCCGTGTCGGCACGGAAAAAACATTGCTTTTGAATTTTTTCTTTTTTTTTTAATTTTTTTATGTGACCGGGTCCAAACCCGAGTCGGGCCCGATCCGGCCCGGCGGGTCATGGACCCGGCACGACCCTAGGTCCGTGCCGGTTCAGGCTCGTCAAAACCCAACCTGGCGGGCCGGGCCGGGTCGGGTCGTGACCCGGCCCGATTTTTGGCCATGTCTAGTCTGCGGTTACGCAACGGCGGCCACGACTACAAATGCCTCTCCTATACCTCCTTCATGGGGGACCCCTTCGTCGTCCTCGACTTCCAGAATCTCCGGGGAATCATCGTCGACCCCGATGAGCCGAGCGCGTGGGTCCAGACGGGAGCCACCCTCGGCGAACTCTACTATTGAATCTCTAAAGAGAGCGGCGGGATGCTCGGCTTCCCTGCCGGAATCTGCACCACCCTCAGAGTCGCCGGAAACTTCCTTGGCGGCGGCTACGGGATAATGATGCAGTAGTACGGCCTGGAGGCCGACAACGTGATCGACGTGAGGCTCGTCTTGGTTGACGGTCGCCTCCTCAACCGCACGACGATGGGGGAAAACCACTTCTGGGCCATCCGCGGAGGGTCGGGGGCAAGCTTTGGGGTCGTGCTCGCGTAGAAGGTTCGACTCGTCGTGGTACCCCAAAAGGTCACTGTTTTCAACGTCTTCAAGATGCTCGACGAGCGCGGGGCAGACTACGTGTTATAACAGTGGCAAAAGGTTGCCCCGAAGATCGATTAGAAGCTCTTCATCAGGGTCCTACTGCAGCCATTTGAGTCGTCCGTGATGACGATCTATAACTCGATGTTCTTGGGGAGAAAACGTGATTTTCTCAAATTGATGAGGCAGATGTTTCCCGATATCGAGGTGAAGGACAAAGACTACTCGAAGGTGAGTTGGATCGAGGCCGTGATGTTCATGGCGAACTACAACTCGAGCACGAAGCCCAATTACTTGCTCCAAATGGTACCAGCGTTCGAGTACAACTTCAAGGGGGCTTCGGATATGGTGAAGGCAATCATCCCAAAGACAAGGCTGCAGGGGATGTGCGATTTCGTGAATCAGACCAATATATCGGTGGTGATTCTGACACCGTACGGGGGAAGAATGGAGGAGATTCCGGAGAACGAGACTCTTTCTGCACCGTGATGTTATGTACATGATACAGTACGTGGGGCAGGGCATACCGAACAACGAGTGGCTCTAGATGCAAGAAAGGGACGAGGAGTGGGTGAGTGGACTGCGCGGGTACATGACAGAGTACGTGACATGAAACCTATTTATTGTGTTTTTGTGCTTATTTTCGTGTGTTTTATGTGTTTTAGTTTAGTGTTTTTGGGTTCGTTTTAGTGTCGACCGGTCCATTTTATCGTGTTTCGTGCATTTTTATTCTCGTATTTTTTTTTGTGGTTCGGCGTACTTTCCTTGTCTTTTTGGTTTTGTTTAGGTCCATATTATTCGATCTTGGAGAGACGAGCCATTTTCGAGACATTTTCGAGTCGTTCGAACCATGTTCGAGCCACGCGAACCATTTCCGAGTCATTCCGAGCATATATATTAATTGCGCGGCAATATTGATTTGAGCATTCCAAGACGAGGAGAATGAGATTTGGGAAGCGTGGGTCGAATTTTCAAGTCAATCGGATAAGCGTGCGAGAAATTAGAGCGAACCGAGCCTTAAAGGGTCACCGGGACTATTTCCAGCGTGCCCGCGGAGAGGCCGGCGAGCTCGAGAGTGCTGCCTTCCTCACTCGCGCGCCCGCGGCGCCGACGGAGAGCTCGAGAGTGTTGCCCTGCTGCCCCGCGCGCCCGCGGGAATGGCCGCGAGGTCGAGAGTACTCATGCCTGTCGTCGCCTACTGCACTCGCGAGCTCGCCGAGAGTCCCGCGAGGTCGAGAGTTCGTCCCCAGCGTCCAGTATCTAAATTCCGCACCCGCGGACCTCCACGTGTGCCCGCGAGTGCCGAATCTCGCGCGCCGCCCCGTGCCAAGCCCCATGCACCCGCGCGCGCGCCCGTGCGCGCTTGTACCTATCCATCGCCGGCGAGCTCGCGGTTTTCACGGAGAGCTCGAGAGTGTCCTATTAAATGTGCGTGTTTTTAGTGTGTGTTTGTGGTGTAGCTATAAATAGACATCTTGTTTTGTATTTTTGGAACAATTCTCATTTTGCTAAATTTTTCTTTTTAGTTTTTTGCTCTCTCTTCTCTCTAGTTTTATTTCTCTCTCTAAGGGCTCCAAGACCCTATTTTTATTGTAATATTTCTCCATCAAGATTACAACTTTTTGGCTTATTTCTTCTCGTGGATGCATTAGAGACGTGGAGACTTCGCTTAAGGTTCATGATTTCGTTAGTCTTGCTTGTCTTTACTTATTGAGTTATTCTAGGGTTAAGCTAAGGATTATGTGATATTGTTATTGATTGCGTGAACGAGAATTTATTTAGAGATTAATTCATCACGAGTGACTATTGCTTGGTTGCATGTTCCCGAACCTATGAGGGTCTTCTTTCCATCTCGGGTCTAGGAGTACCTTGTTCTTTTTCTCTTTATTTTCTTTTTTCTTGCAATTTGAGGTGTTGCTTGCTAGTTAATGTTGAATCTTGCTTTCGTTTAGTTTAAAGTTGCCATCTTTAGCTTAATCGAACCCCAAATTGCGAGTAGAGTGTTTAGGATTTTTATTTTCTTTTCTTGTGTTAGTCAATCATTGCTTGAATCCGTGTCCGAATAGCCTTCCTTTGAGAACGACCCGAGTCCGGGTAACTCAGTTACCAACTACCCAAAAATACTACAAACAAAACCTGAGACAAGCGTACGTGAACTACAGGGATCTCGACTTGGGGACGGACGGGAAGTGCTCGACAAACTGCAGCTGCCCGTACATGTGGGGACCCAAGTACTTCAAGAACAATTTGGAGAAGCTTGTGTGGGTGAAATCGAAGGTGGATCCGAGGAAATTTTTCAGGCACGAGCAGAGCATACCGACTTTGGATTTGGTCAACCAGTGCATTCACTTGATTTCATAAGATTATGTGTTGTTGTTGTACTTCTGTGTGCCCTGTTAGTATCGTCATCTTCATGCGCAAATTCCACGAATGTAATGCAAGCACAGAGTACCTACCTAGCTAGTTCACGGTTCTGGCAGTCGGAACCGTGAACTAGAAATTTCTCTTATTTATTTTATTTTTATTTTTATTTCGTTTGTTTAGATTTTATTTGTTTCTTAGAATTTTAATTAGTTTAGTTATTAAATCCAATCCCCCCTTTATCGTTTTTATAATTCAACTAATACAAGAATATCACAACTTGATTCACACTCCCTGTGGGCTCAACCCTTACTCGTCACTACTACTAGTTAGTAGAGATTAGTCAAGAAAAAATATAAATCTTAATTTTGCCGCGTTGCGACGCGCGATCAAATTTTAGCGCCGTTGCCGGGGAGTGGCGTTATTGAATTGTGATTTTTGAGTACTAATTGAGTTTGTTTTAGGATTTTATTTTTATCATCTTTTACCTCCCTTTTTCTTTGTTTCTTTTTGTTTTTTTTTTTTTTGGCAGAATACTGGGCGACCCCGTACTCTGCTGGACAGAAAAGTTTGACCCCATTCTCGCGAGAATAACTTGTTTTTGGGTGATCGGCATAATTTTTCTAGATGGCAGTCTATTATCACAATTTCTATTCCCACCAAGCACCTTACCAGTATGAGAGGGAGATACGAGGCCCGTGGATTGGAGATCGAGGCGTAAGAGGATCTATTGGTTGGCGAAGGGACGGGCAAGACTACTTCTATCCCGATGAGTACGAATACCGTTTGAAAGAGTACTCGAACTCATTCTATGGGTACTCCGAGCCACCAATTGTGCGAGATCCCAACCCGTCGCTCGAGGATATGATTGAGGCATTGGCGTTGAACTCGTTGAAATTTCAGCAAGAGTACTGTGAGCCATTAGTTGAAAGAGACCTGGTCCGTTGCTCGAGGATATGATAATGGAGTTGACGGCTAACACCTTTAACTTTCAGCAAAGTGTTGAGGCGAGTCTCAAGAGCCAAGAACTAAGCGTAAGGAATTTGCAAGGACAAATGAGCCAATTGGTGGAACAAATGGACCGACTAGTTTGTCGGCTGGAAACAAGTCTAATGAGCTCGAGCGCCACCCATTCGTGCAGCGATGACCTCGAGGAACCTGAAGAGTACACATACGAGCCGGTGAGCGTAAAAATCACGAATATAGAGAAAACGGAGTCGAAACAGCCCAGTACGGGGGTGCCCCATACTCTACCTGATGTACCCCGTACTGGACCTGCTGTAGCGAAAAAGCATACCGTTCTCCCCGCTCTTGTGCCGATAGAAGCTGAACCATTTCTTATCTCTTCCAACATGAAGTGGGTACTGAGAAAGTATGCACTGAAGCATGTATTGAGCCTTAATATCCAGCCCCTTGAGACGATCGAGCATAACGAAAGGTGTGAATGGGAGTTTAATGAGACGATGATCGTGATTGAGCGTGGGTTGCTACACATTAATGGGGAATTAGCGTCATGGAGGAAAGATCCGGTGAAGCATCCAACACCGGAAAGAGGGGATTTCGCCAAACATGGGGTCGTGAGATATGTGCCTCCCTTGAGGCCACCTCGAAAGCCACCATGGATCCTTTGATGAAAATAGAGCAATAAGTCGGGCCAACGACAATAGAAAGAGGCGCTTGTTGGGAGGCAACTGTTTATTGTGTTTTTGTGCTTGTTTTCGTGTGTTTTGTGTGCTTGAGTTTAGTGTTTTTAGGTTCTTTTTAGTGTCAACCGGTCCATTTTATCGTGTTTCGTGTATTTTTATTCTCGTATTGTGTTTTTATGGTTCGGCGTACTTTTTTTGTCTTTTTTATGTTGTTTAGGTCCACATTATTCGATCTTAGGAAGATGAGCCATTTCTGAGATATTTTTGAGTCGTCCGAACCATGTTCGAGCTGTCCGAGCCGACCGAGCTGTCCAACCCGAAAAATCCGACCAAGCCATACCGGGACGAAGAGAATTCAATGATGAGAATTTTGGTCTAAATTTCGTGCGAATCGGAGTTGTGTGCGAAAAGTTAGAGCGAATCGAGCATCAAGAGGTCACCGGGACCATTCCTACGCACGCGCCCATGCCCGCGAGCTCGAGGACAAATCCGCGACGTCGAGAGTACCATTCACTCCTTGTCCGCGAGCTCGCCGCAACTTCCGCGAGGTCGAGAGTGCTCTCCACTCCAAGCCCACAAGCTCGCCGCAACTTCCGCGAGGTCGAGAGTGTGCACTGCTGCGCGCCCGCACGCCCGCACACTCGCACGCCCGCGCGCCCCGTGTTGCCAATGCCCAAACCACACTCTCGAGCTCGCGGATTTCATGGCTAGCTCGAGAGTGTTTTAGTAAATGTGCATGTTTTAGTGTGTGTTTTGTGGTGTAGCTATATAAAGATATCTTGCTTTGTATTTTTTATCATAACCCTCGTTTTCCAACTTTTAAGTTGGGAAAATCCTCTCTATTTCTCTTTTTCCTTTTTTATATTTTGGTTTGGAGCTTTATGAATCAAGTTTTCCGGCGAACTTCCGGCGACATTGTTTTGAGCAAAGTTACAAGCTTTTGATTCCGTTTCTTCTCCCGAGTGCATGTTGGAGTGGGTAACTTAGTCTTAAGCCCCATTACCTCGTATATCTTTCTTACTTTGGTAAATTGATATTGTGCTTGAGATTTTGGAAGAAAAGATTGTTGCTTTAGATCATGAATGTTTGACTAAGTGTGATAGGA